TTACACAGACAAGCACACCATCTGAATAAGTAAGAACAGTTTTACTTCTTTGTTCCCATCCTGCACGCCTCTTATTTCTTTTTCTTACCTCATTGCACTGGCTAGAAATAGTATCTCTGTTTTTAGTTGTTATGTCTCTTAAATCCCTTTCTCTTTTTAATAGACTTTTTGTTTTACAGTGGTTTTAGATTTATAGAAAAGATGCAAAGACCGTACAGTTTCCCCTGTTATTAGCACCTTACGTTAATATTGCACAGTTGTCACAACTAGTGAATCGATGTTGATGCATCATTTGCTGAAGTCCTTAATTTATTCGTCCTGGTTCGGTTCTCACCTGATGTCGGTCTTCTATCGCAGGACCTCAGTCCGGAGGTCACACTCACTTAGCATCCACCTCCGTCAGCTGTGACAGCTACCTGGACTTCTCTTGTTTCTGACGGCCATGGAAGCTTAGAAGAGCTCCCCAGCCGGCATTTGTCTGACATTTTTCTCGTGGTGACACAGGGGTTATTAGCCTTTGGGAGGAAGAAGTGTCTCTTCGCATGACTTCCAGGGTACGTGTCATCTATCGACATGACTGTCACAGCTGATGTCCACCCCTATCACCTGGCTGAGGCCGTGGCTGTCAGGTTTCTCTGCTGTAACTCACCCTCCAACTGTAAGAAACCTGGTCCCCACCATCCACAAACCGTGTAATTAGCTGTTCAATTAGTAACACCTCTGTCGGTCACGAGAGGATGCTGATAACAGACGAGACATGTTTTCGAGTCACAGCTCCTCGGGTGAAACCCCAAAAACCCAGGCTGTGTTTCGGCCCCTTCAGTGCCTGGTCTCTGGGGCTGCTCAGTAAGCTCGGGCCTGAGTGTTAACCTTGCAGTTGACCTTGGAAAGTCTGGGTAAAATGCCAACATTCAAATGTTTTGGAAATTCCCCCCCTCAAAAGCACACAGTTTCCTGTTTAGTTTTTAAAAATGAGTCTAAACCTTATTCTACAGAAATCAAACTTCTCCCCTCCCTGGGTGAGACAGTGCTCATAATTTCTTACAATCTACAGTCTATCATGTTGTGAAATAAAATATGCATCTTATGGCAAGACAAGAAACATTTAAACAAAAACTCTTCTCTGCCCTCTGCCCTTCTCTCCCCTTCCCCCGACACCGTGCTCTGAGTATCTGCCTAAAGCATCCACCAAACCCCTCCCCCATTGGCAGGACCTGTCCACTGCAAAGAACAACATTCTCCTAGAATCAACAAGACAGCTCCGCAAAGGTGACATTCCATCTCGACCCTGTGAGGGGCCACGTGAACCACCAGGGTGACACAGACCAGGATTGTGTAGACTGTCAATAACGCATCATCTGATGTCCAGCCCTCTGTCTCAAAAAGCTTATAAACCTGTACCTCGACTTCTACCCAGCAGAACAGAGATGTCATTTCTGGCTTTTAATCCTCAAATTTGGCTTGAATAAAAATTTTCGTTTCTTTCTTAGATGGACTGATTAGTTTTTCATCAACAGCATTTACGTGGTGTCCAAATAGTCTAAATTCCCTTGTCTCTTGTGTAAGTCTGTGTTTAAAGATTCTGTTCCATAAAGGGGACCAGCTCACATGGCCAACGCCAAGCAGGAGTCTTGACCGAGCGCCGTCTCCATTCCTTTTGCTGCCAAAATGTTTCAGACTCATTTTCAAGCTGTTTGAACAGCCGAGGCATCTCTACCTGGGACCTTTATCCCGAGAGCAGAGGACAGGAAGTTGTCACTACGAGATGAATGGGTAGGTGGCCTGAGGCACAGGGGGGTTTCATGAAGGTCAAGGTGTGAGTGGGGACAGAGGACACTCAAGGGACAGGAGATGCACTCTGTGGAGAGGAGGCTGGAGGACCGCGGGTGAAGAGCCATTTGCTCCCCCAAATCTAGAACAGGCGTTTTCTCTCTAAGCCCAAATTACAGTCTGCTCCTGCTCTCCTGCCAGGGTGCCACAGAGCATCCTAAGTCGTCTGAAAATAAAGCGAAAATGCACAAATCACTTAAGTTCTGAGCTCAGAATTTCAGACGAGCACCTTTATTGGAGGGTTGCCCCTGCTGGGGGCTGAGGTCAAGTTCACGCACACCGTGATGGAAGAGGGGAGGCCAGCAGAGCAGTGGAGGGGAGTGGAGGGACGTGGCTCCCACGGGAGCAGAGTGCTCGAGATCAGAGGCAGCCGCCCCGGGGGGCCTGTGCGCCCCACACCTCAGCCGGCCCCCCAGGAGCCATCCTGACTGACCTCCACCGAGGACTGTGCACTACCGTGAACAGGAACAACTCTCTCCTGGACGACACTCTGGAAGAGTCAGCCTTGGCTTGTCGAGGGCTCGGTAATCCCCAAACCGCCCAGAGCAGACCCCCAGCTGCAGTTCTTTGCCCGGTCCCTCGCTCCTGGCTTTGTCCACCACTGAGCTTCTCATTCACGAGCTCCTCCTCCACCTGGAAGAAGAGAGGAGTGGGCCCTTGGGTCCCCGGGTGGGCCACGCACTGCTGCCCCGCAGCCGACCCGGATGTGGCAGCCAAGTCCCTGCCCCTGAGGCAGCGCCCTCGGGTTCAGGCCAGGCCAGGCCAATATCGCTTTTTGAGTTTAAGAAGAAGAAGGAGAAGGAAAAGGAGATGGAGGAGGAGGACGAGGAGTAGAAATGTTAAGCATTTCAGCATGTTCTAAAATTCTGCATCTGACAAACGGATGCTCTTCACTGCCGGCGCCATCTAGCAGTGCCCTCGCCGCGGTAACCATGGGACCAGTGAAACTTCGCCGTGGGGTCTCTGTTATGGGATGGGAGCTTAAGTTTCATAATTAAAGGACTTGGGGCCATCTTTTCACTGTGACTCTACATATAATCTCATTACAAAATCATGCCAAGACTTTGAGGCCCAAGAGAAGAGGCCCCAGGCCAGAAGATCTCAAGGCCTAGAAGCGACACCAGGTCCCCAAGGACCCTGATGTCAGCAGCCATCGGTCACCTGGGGCCTGCAGGAAAGTGTTGATTTCATTGTCAGCCGCAGGGCAAAAGGAGCTGAAGGTCAAGCACACTCAAGCTTCATCATCAGTCGGAGGGAACCCCCTCTGGTTCCCTCGTCATCTTAAACCCACAGCTGGTTGATGATGACAGTCACGCTGCTTTCAAATAACGGATTAGTCACTGCTTTCAAATAATTAGTAATTAGCTTCAAGTTTATGTATCACCAGCTACTCCGAATCTATCCGTGAATTGCTGGGTAGCTGATGGTGAAGAGTCTCGCCTCCTTGGCACAGAACTCAGCCTACGTCTCCGAGCCGGTCAGCAGCTCTGCATCTGCATCTAAACAGTCAGGAAGTGGTAATGTTGCAGGAAAGCAGGCGCCAGAGGGTGGTCCTGCCCCAGGTCTCGGGCAAGTCCCTGGGACGGGCTGCCGAGCGAGGCGCGCAGGAAAGGGTTCATGAACAAGCCGCGGCAGAGTGAAGGCAGATTTACTCAGAGAGACGCGCCGTCCACAGACAGAGCGCGGGCCGCCGCAGAAGGCGAGAGCGCGCTCGGCGTGCAGGGCGGTGGGTCTTGACGGGGCTTGGGAGCTCCGTATGCTGACAAGTGGGAGAGTTATTCCAGCCACTTTGAGGAAGGGGCAGGGGTTCCCAGGAGCTGGGCCGCCGCCCAGTTTTTGACCTTTCACGGTCAGCCTGGGAGCTGTGATGGTGCCCCTTGCAGTGTCATTTAGCAGCTAATATATTATGATGAGCGTATAATGAAGCTCAAGTTCTGCTGAGGTCAAATCTCCCGCCACCTTGGGCCTCAAGGGCCACCAGGCTTTAAGCCTTCCACCGTCTGGGGCCGAGTGGGTTCTAACCCATCTACGTCGTGTCCTCACTGGCTGTGCCCTGCCCCCTTCCCTCTTGTCTCACTAAGAGGGTTTGTTCTTGGTACATTTTCTTCCACCTCAAAATGAAAACGAAACTTGCCCCAGAAATATGTGCTTGTGGTAAAAGGGTCAAAGAGCTTATGCGAGGAGGGAGCTAACTGCGTGCTATTGGGTTGTCACCACAGGGCAACTAACCTTCACGGAGAATGGGAGCCAGGGCACCTCCACGGCAGGCAGGGGCGAGAAGCCTCTGGTCACTGTGCTTGCATGGACACTCTTCCTAAGGAGCCCAGGTTTTGGGGTAAAACCAACAGTGGGATGTGTTTGAAGAGTGTCTACCAGCCTGTGACGCAGAAAAGGAAGTCCCCTAGGAGCAGAGAGGCTCTCTCCGACTCTGACAGATTCTCTGGAAGCACTGGACGGGTCCCAGGATGTTCTACAAAGGAAGGAACACCGGTCGCTCTGTGTGGCATCTGGCGGGGGATAGGAGCCGCAGAGGGAGGCTGTCTTGCTGGAAGCAGAGGAGAGGTGATGTGGAAAGAGCGTCCGTCCACTGATGGGAGCCCAAGCCAGGCTGGAGGACCCTGATCCCTGAAAACAATGAGCCAAGAAGAAACACAAATGCCTCTCTGGAAAGGGTTCCCAAGGGAGGATGTGGAGAAACTGGAACCCTGTGCGCTGTTGCTGGGAATGTGAAACGGTGCAGCCCCTGTGGGAAACAGTATAGAAGATCCTCAAAGACTTAACTAGAAGTACCATATGATCCAGCCATTCCACTTCTGGGTATGATCCCAGAAGAATAGAAAACAGAGTCTTGAAGAGGTATGTGTGCACCTGTGTTCACAGAAGCATTAATCACAACAGCCACGGAGGGAAAGCAACCCAAGTGTCCTTCGAAGGACAAATGGGTAAACAAAATGGGGTCCATCCATGCAGTGGAATGTGACTCAGCCTGAAAGAAGAAGGAAAATTCTGACGCCTGCTACCACACGGATGAACCTTGAGGACACTGTGCTCAGTGTAGCAAGCCAGTCACAAAAGAAGAGACACTGTGCGACTCCACGTGTACGAGGTCCCCGGAGGAGTCAGAGTCACAGAGAGTGGGGGCCGGGGGCCGGGGGCGGGGGGTGGGAGGGGTTAGTGTTTAACCAGGATGGAGTTCCCTCTGGGGAAGATGGAAAGTTCTGTGGATAGACGGTGTGAACAGACTCGGTGACACTGAACTGTACACTTACGAGCAGTTACAAAGGTAAACTTTATGTCACAGGTATTTTATCACAATAAAAACATAGAAAAAAGTAAATAAAAATATTAGTAAAGGGGAAAATAAAAAGGTTCCAAGATTCGGCCTCAGCTCAGTATCAGCTAAAGCAACCCCTTTCTGCTTCTCCAGAAAAGGGCTATTTCCTGTGTGTGGTGTGTGGGACGGGCGAGAGGACCGCATCACCGCTTCCGACCCCCGAATCGTCTGTCCAGGGCAGGCCCCCTGCACCGCCAGCTAGAGTGACGGCGGCAGCCCAGACCTCTGTCCCTGCACCCGCCTCACTGAGAGTAGACCTTCCACCACATTTTGTGGCAGGAAATTCTGTGGCCTGGTTACCAGAAATATGCTTATGGGTTGGAAAGCGACTTCCCTTCTGTCAAAAGAGGTAGAAGGCAGACTGTAAATAAAGGCTGGCCTAGGGGAGACGGGAGTCTGCAGGCATTGATAAAACCTTTGTGCCAAGCTCCTCCCGTGGTTGACAAGGCAGACCTGGTCCTGCCCTCAGAGAGCAGACCTGGGAGTGGGCAGGAGTGGAAAGGAACCGGCCGTTGAACAGACGCTGGGAGGATGGAGTGGGGGCACGCGCTTGGGTGTGTCCGGCAGGGAGGGCCGCGTCCAGCCGGGGGGCCGCTGGGCCGCTGGGCCTCGCTGGGGGGAGGGTATTTAAGTTTCTGGTTCTCTGAAGGGCGGAGTGGAAATAGCCCAGAATTCAGTGCCCCAAGCAGGAGGACGGGGAAAGGGACTTGGGACACAAAACTTCCCCTTCAGCTGGGCTCAACCGTGTTTACAGTCACCAGGGCAAGGACCCTTAAGGGAGGTCACGGCCTTAAGAATTTCTGCCTCTTTCCTTCCTGCCTCCCTTCCTTTCCTTTGCCAGGCGGCTGGAAGAAGAGACAGCTCTGGCTCAGGGTCTGCAAAACAGTTTGGCTTCATCGCGTTTTCATCAATTGATGAAAGCTTTCTGGGCAAAAAGCACGATGCCTCCGTGAGCAAACAGAGCACAGCCCAGTTCACGTCAAGGGTGACAGGCGTCCCCTCTCCTACGGCCCCGCCCCTGGTTCAGGCCCTGGTCCCTCTTCCCCAGCCCAGCCTCCGACTGGCCGCCCAGTCATTCTCCGACCGAAGAGTTTCAGTGGTTTCCACAATAAACATTCCCAGCGAGCTTTGAAGTGCCAGGAGTCAGGTCAGGCTCCAGAAAGAGAGGTTTAGACAGTGTTCCAACCTTCAAGATCACGTTACGCCCAGAGCACAAGTAACGGCCCGGAGGTAAGAACAAACGGGTCCCAGACGACGGCCTGGAACTAAGCGTGAATTAAACGCGCTCCAGCCCTTCCGACAGTTGGCACTCCGTCTCCGTCCGTCTGTGACCACTTTCTGGCCCCCCCCACCTCTGTCCCTGAGGGTCCTTTAGCTTAGTGTGTGCCCTTCCCCCGCTCCCCTCCCGTGCGCAGTCCCTCAGTCTCTTTCCTGGGCTTTTCACTTTATCTCCATCTTCCTCTCTTGTTTGCCTCTCTGTAATCAAACACCTGCATTGTTTCCCCAGCTCTGCCCCTTACTACCTCAGCCATCTCGGACAAATTACCAACCTTCTCGTCCTGGATTCCTCATGTGTAAAGTGAAGACAACGCTTCCTGCTTTGCTGGTGGCCTAGAGTTGCTATGAAGATCAAATATACACGTGGATTGAAAGTGCTCCCTAAATGGCAAAGAGCTCCACACGTGTATTTTATTATCTCGTTCTGTCTCGTCTTAAACGTGGGCTTGTTTCTCTTTTGGATGCTGTGAACTCCTTGAAGACTAGGACCACGTGTCTCTTCACGGGGCTGGCAGATTTCAACAACGCCTCGGGTCTCAGCCGGAGGAAGAGCAGGGTCACAGGGTTACCCATCTCCTGGTGGTGCGCCCAGCACACTGGATGGGAAAGGCCCTCTGGAGCTGTGCAAATCTCCCGTCACCCAGGGCAGCGTCTGAACGTCTCAGAAAATGGGCTGACCTTCCTCTGCCACAACTTAAGTTGCACTTAATTTTTTAACTGTCTCTAAGCCAAGATCAGGGGCTCAGAAGGGTGTTTTTTAGCTGCGGGTGTGCAAGCACACTGCCAAGTGATGACTCAGACGTCTGGTTCCACTCAGTCATCAGGCATCAGGAATGACCACACCCGGACCCCTAGCCACGTGGGTCAACTCCAGCCCCCGAGCCCGCACCTCCTCCGCACGGGCCGTGGTGCATCTTCTGCCTCTGTTTCTTCACATTCTGAAAGAAAGTGATGAGACTGAAACCAGGGGGCCCCAGCCAGCTGATTGAAAGAGGAAGGCAAAAGGACTTTAACTTACTGAGAACATAAACTCAACACAGAATATTCACCTGATACAGATGAGCAGAAAGTCATCTCTGGCGTTTAGACACTCATTTCCATTAAAAACCCAAAGAAAACATTGTGATTCTTGAAATCTGAATGAGTTTTTGTGACTGCCGTGACAGAGGACCACAGGTGGGGGGTTTAAACAACAGAAATGGGTTGCGTCACAGCTCTGGAGGCTGGAAGTCCAAGATCTAGGTGCCAGTCAGGTTGGCCCCTTCTGAGAGCCTTTCTCCTCAGCTCACAGACGCCGCCTTCTCCTTACGTCTTCCCTCTGGGCGCATCTGTGTCCAGACTTCCTCCTCTTACAAGGACATCAGTCATATTGGCTTAGGGCCCACTCATGTGACCTCAGTTTACCCTAATTACCTCTTTAAAGGCATCTCCAAAATACGGTCACGTTCAGAGGTCCTGGGGGTTAGGACTTCAACATGCAAAGTGGAGGGGACACAGTTCAGCCCATGACGGAGCCCTAGAGCTTCCAGACAGTGCCTGCGCTGGTCCACACAGCCTTAGCTTAAGACGTTTCTCCAGCACACTCCTCATCAGCCTGCTCGGACTGCCTTCCTCTGAAGTGCATGACACTCCTGGGGACAGGTTTTGTCAACAAATCAGGGAACTGGCAGGCACCACCTCTACAATTTTGTCTTTCTTAAAAAAGAAAGAGACTGGGTCTAAGCAGCACTCACCCACACACGCTGTAATAACATGCGTGCCCACAGCCCGTCAGCCGAGGGCCAGCTCCTCACGCTGCACTGCGGTCACCACGTCTGCAGGTCAGAGTCCCATACATCTGCTGTCGCCTTCAGTGATTCCCGGGTTTTCCCAGATGTTTGCAAGTATTCTTAACAAGGTGGAGTTCAGAGAGTTCGGGGCGACTGTCATCCCTGCAAGAAGGCAAATTGTAATTCTTTTAGAAAGAATTTAGGAATGACCAGAAGGGCACTAGTAAATGGTTTATAAAATAGAGCAACATCCGTAAATGAACAGGCAGGCCGGGTGCAGTGAGACTGCAGCCGTGTTTGGCTTTGTGAAGGAAGCCTTCCAAGCCCGAGGGGATGACAACGAGGAGAGTCCTGCCGCTTCAGGTGAGGAGGGACCCAGCGGGACTGGGAGGAAGAGGAGTCCGTGTGGGACCGTTGCGGAGGGTGGGGTGTCCGGGCCTAGAGCCTGGTGACCGTCCTGGGACCTGTCCTGTCCCACGGGCCGCCTCCAGGGCTGGAGATGCACTGGTGTGTTTCAGCCTCACGCCGCGAACCCTAGCAGGGCGCCCGGCCTGGGCCCCGACGCGATGCCGAGCTCCGGAGGGGAGGCGGGCTTGCACTGGGGGTACAGGAGCCTCTCCCTCTCGTAACGTCACTCGATGATTATGCGGGGCGAGGCTGTGTTTCACTTTTGTATCCCTAGCAACCGGGCCAAAGTCAACATTCGATGTGTTTATCAAACTAAGCTTTTGTAAAAGCAGGAAATGGCCTCAAATACCAGACGGTTCTTCGGTTCCTCCGAGCACATGACTGAGCGATGAGGCAGGTCACTGCCCGGACGATAAGGGCAGAAATGACGGAAGGGAAGTTCAGCTGCGGTGACTATTGCTACAAAGCTTTTTGTCTCCCGGAGTAACTGAAAGCAGAGCGCATGTCCCTGTGTAAGAATCTCACCAGTTTACGGGTGGTGGGAATCTCCATGCAAATCCTCGTAACAGCAGAAAAATGGAATCTCTCCTCTTCAGCCCTTTCTGCCACCCGGGTATGTGGTGATGTGTGGACGCCTCCGGCTCAGCCTGATAGAGTATCTGGCAAGATCCTTTGAAGATTCTTTAAACAATAGAAATAAAGCAGTCCTTCTCGTCCCTAAATAGTGCACAACTTTTCTGAGAAACAAAAACCCTAAAATCAGGCTGTCAAGATAGTGAGCTGCCGACCGAGGACCCCGGATGGTGGTACACACGGGACCCCGCTGTGCAGGCGACGGGGGACCCGGCAGTGACTGGCCACCGCTCCCAGGGGGAGAGGGGCAGCCACTGAGGCCCTTCTGTCCCTCCTGTGTCCTGGCTGGATTCAAGGTCCTTAAACGCAGGTTCCATCGTGTGCCTCTGTGACCCCACCCTTTGCGTGGAGCTCACTTAGCATTTGATGTGTAACCCCTACACTTTTCCAGGCTCCCAAGAGGTTATTTTCACTCAGGGTTGTGATTTAATAAAGAATGAATTTGGTCTTTGATCCCAGTTTCTGGCAGAGAGCTCCTAAAACTGGGGTGACTAGGGGGGTTGGAATTTCCAGCTTCACCCCGTGACCTCCACGGAAGGAAGAGGGTTTGGACATTGAGGTCAATGACATGGCCGATGAGGACTCGGTCACACTCACGTAAAAGCCCTTGTTGCTGGGACCTGGGGCCTCCCAGGCCGGTGAGCACAGGGCCGCGCTGGGAGGGTGGGGCACCTGGGACGGGAGGCCCCGCCCCTTCCCACGTGACTCACACGTGTCTCTCGTCCATCTGGCTTTTCCTGAGCTGCATCCTTTATGACAGACCAACCGCAGTGGCACATGACTTGCTTTCCTGAGCTCTGAGAGCCGTTCCGGCAAATGTGAGCCCAAAAAGGGGGCTGTGGGAACCCCATGTATAGCCAGCTGGTCGGAACCACCTGGGACTTGCAACTCGTTTCTTAAGTGGGGGCAGACTCATGCGACTGAGCCCTTAAATTGTGGGGTCTGAGCTAACTCCAGGCAGGTGGTGTCAGAACTGGGCCAAGCTGCAGGACACCCAGTCAGTGTTCCATTGCTGGGTGTGGCAGAGCCACACGGCTGGTGTCAGAAGTGTGTTCAGTAGCAGGAGAGACAGACAGTGTTGCTCTTCAGTATGTGTAAACTTCACTTGTTTACTTATATACCGTCCATAAACAAGTGAGGAAAATGTTCTTGTTTACACTGTTGTAATTACAATAAAATTTAGAAATAATCATAAGCCCAAATCCCCAAAACTGTATGGGACTTCCATTAAAAAAATAAAATCTAGACAGAGAGATATAAAAAAGATCTGAATACAGACTCCTCTCATTTTCCTGAGCAGAAAACTAAACATTGTAAATAGATTAATTTACCCGAATAATTTATATGCTTAATGTTACAATAATCCCTCTAAAAGAATCCCAAAGTTTACAAAATTATTTTGGGTGTGGGAAAATTATTCTAAACTTCACCTGGAAGAATAAAAATGAAAAAAAAAATAGGTGACTGGGGAAAAACAGATTATTTTACAAATAATGCTGAGAAACTGGCTATTTGTAAATAAATCAAATTAAATCTTCTCCTGAATGTCAACACCACAAAAACAAATTCTAAATGGATTAAACAGTTAAATTGATTTAAAAAGTAAAAGCATAGAAGGAAAAATAGGTGACTAATTGGTTTCTCCATGGGAAGGTAATTCTAAGAATGAAAGCAGAAAGCAGTGCCAGAAATCTCTTGGGAAAATCTAGAGTTTACTACAGAAAAAAACCTGCTTATTAATGAAACATTTTAACAAAATTTATGAACAGTTCTCACCAATAATAAAAGAAATGCAGTACATGGACAGCCTTGTGTAATATATAATGTTGCAGATGTTTTAATTTACAGAAAATGTACCATGTGCCTCCTTCCATCTGTTTTCACTTAACATCATCTCTCCACGAGACTGAACACACACCTAGTCTGTGCTCTAGTTTTTAACTCCCACGTGGTGTTCCAAAGTGTGCCCCCCATTTTCATGCTCTCTCCCCACTGGGATGGGCACCTAGGCAGCTTCCAACCTCCTGCTCCACGAAGGAGGCCACAGTGAAGAGCGCAATCCCGGTGCCTTCACTGACTCCGCCATGACGTTCCCTGGCCACACATCTGGAAGGAAGCCGGCCAGACCCTGGGACGGGCACCCAGTGGGGACACCGATTGATTAATTCCTGTGTGGGTGTCTGGTTCCTGTTCCCGAGGTGCTGTTTCCCTGCTTCCTGGCTTTCTCTGGGTTGTATCCAACTTCGCCACACCAGACACCTGACGGATGTAGACCCACATCTCATGGTGTTTTATTTGTGCTCCTCTGGTCACTAACTCACCACCTGTTCTCTTTGATTTGTAAGAGTTCTTTGTGTCTGCTGTTTAATTCCTTGCTGATTTTTTAAAATTTTGTAACTGAATTTTATCTTTTCTTCCAATTTTATTGAGATATAGTTGACACACAGCACTGTGTAAGTTTAAGGGGTACATAAAGTCTATCCATCTTGTCACCTGAGCAGCACTTAGGTTGCTCCCATATCTTGTTTTTTGTGAACAATGCAGCAATGAACATAGGGGTGTATATATCATTTTGAATTAGTGCTTTTGTTTTCTTTGAGAAAAATATCCAGAAATGGAATTGCTAAATTGCGTGGTGGTTCAATTTTTTTAACTTTTTTTATTGAGTTATAGTCATTTTACAATGTTATGTCAAATTCCAGAGTAGAGCACAATTTTTCAGTTATACAGGAGCATACATATATTCATTGTCGCATACTTTTTCACCGTGAGCTACCACAAGATCGTGTATATATTTCCCTGTGCTGTACAGTATAATCTTGCTTATCTGTTCTATGTATACCTGTCAGTATCTACAAATTTTGAACTCCCAGTCTGTCCCTTCCCACCCCCCTCCCTCCTTGGCAACCGCAAGTCTGTATTCTATGTCTATGAGTCTGTTTCTGTTTTGTATTTATATATATATATTTAGATTCCACATATGAGCGATCTCATATATTTTTCTTTCTCTTTCTGGCTTACTTCACTTAGAATGACATTCTCCAGGGACATCCATGTGGCTACAAATGGCATTATTTTATTCTTTTTTATGCCTGGGTAGTATTCCACTGTATAAATACATCACATCTTCTTTATCCAGTCATCTGTCGATGGATATTTAGGCTGTTTCCGTGTCTTGGCTGTTGTACACAGTGTTGCTGTGAACACTGGGGTGCAGGTGTCTTTCTGAAGCTGGGTTCCATTTTAACTTCTTTTGAGGCGCTGATGCATCTCCCTGACGATGAAGGATGCTGAGCTCCCTTTCATGTGTCTGTTGGCGTCTGTATGTCTTTTTTGGAAAAATGTCTATTTAGGTCCTCTGCCCATTTTTCAGTCAGGTTGTTTGTTTTTTTTGGATGTTGAATTGTATGAGTTCTTTGTATATTTTGGATATTAACCCCTTATCAGATACATTATTTGCAAAAATAATTTTTATAGATATTTAATGGTATTTTTATAATATATTCTTTCAATATGGTTATGGTGTTCCTCAAAACTGAGTAACTTTTCACTTTATCACTTGCTTAGATATTATCTTTCCTTTTTGTCTATTATCAACACTTTTTAAAATTCAAAAACAAATACAGGTACTGGGCCAATGGGATATCCCATATGCAAAAAAATTAAGCTGGACCCCTACCTCATATCCTAGACATAAGATGGATTAACAAGCTAAATATAAGACCTGAAACCATAAAAGTCTTATGGGAAAACACAGCTGTAAATCTTCATGACTTTGGATATGACAACACATTCTTAGCTGTGACACCAAAAGTATAAGCAACAAATGAAAAAAAGCAGATAAACTGAACGTCACTGAAATTAAAACTTTCATGGTTCAAAGGATCTTATCAAGAAAGGGAAAATATAACCTAAAGAATGAGAGAGGAGATTTGCACATCATGTATATGATAAGGGTCTAGTATCCAGAATACATAAAAAACTCTTACAGTTTGACAACAAAAAGACAAACAACCAACGAAGACATGAACAAAGGACTTGAACAAACTTTTCTCCAAAGAAGATATATACACATGGCCAGTAAGCACATGAAAAGGTGCTCAAGATCATTAGCCATTAGAGAAATGCAAGTCAGAAGCACCACGAGGTCTCACTCCCCACCCACTGGGACAGCCAACATCTGAAAACCAGAAAAGAAAATTACAACTATTGGCAAGGATGTGGAGAAACTGGAACCCTCGTAAAATGCCAATGGGGCACCCACTGGGGAAAGCAGCACAGTGGTTCCTCAAAAAGCTAAACGTAGAAGAATTACCACCTGGCCCAGAAATTTCCTCCTAAAACTGCAGTACACGCCTGTTCATAGCAGGATCACCCACAGAGAGCCAAAAGGTGGAAACAGACCAAACGTCCATCTGTGGCTGGTTGGATAAACAAAATGTGCTCTGTCCATACAATGGAATATTACTCAATTTAAAAAAGAATATGAAAAGGAGTATACATGTGTAACTGACTCACTCTGCTGTACACCAGGAATTAAGACAACATTGTAAACTGACTACACTTCAATAAAATAAATAGATACATACGACGTTGTGTTAGTTTCTCGTGTACAGCAGAGGGAGTCGGTTATACACATACACACATTTTCATCATTCAGCAGTTATTGCAAGATACTGAGTGCAGTTCCCTGCGCCAGACAGCAGGACCTTGTTGTTTATCTCTTTTATATATTGGGCTGCATCTTAACTACAAGAATCTATTGCCCCGCGACTCTGATTAACAAGTGCAAGTGAGTGGTCGGTCTTGGGGAGAAGCCAAGTGTGCTGGCGGGTCACCCAGCCGGATGGGGAACTGGCCAGGCCCATCCTCAGGGTGTGTGGAGCGTGACACGGGACACACATAGAGGGCAAGGCTCCCACGCGGTAAGCACGTCCCCCTCACGGGGAGGAAAACCTGCCGCAGAAGAGGATGCTGTTGGTCTCGTTGTGCCTGATGAAGAAGAGGAAGGGGTGGTCGGCACAGAACCTGGGTCCAAGCTCCATGCAACACTCCACCACGATCAAGGCCGAAGCAGCCGCGGCCTCCGTGCCTTCCTCGTTCACCTCCACAACGCTCCTGTGGGCGAACACGGACAGACACAGGTCCCTCGCGGTCGACAGTGCCGAGAGGTCGGCCTTGCCCTGCTGGAAGGCGTCCACCACCCCCAGACGCCGGAGCACGGACCCCATGTCGTAGTTCTCCTCCAGTTTAAATCTCGGGAGGAAAACTTCAACTTCGGTGCTCTTCATGCAGCCTGGCGTGGTCCAGGCGAGGAGCTTCTCAAAGGTGAGGTTTTCTTCCACCTGCAGAGTCCACCGGAATTCGACTTTGACTTCACACTTCAGCATGTGCCTACGTGCACAAAGGCCTACCCGCAACCCCTCCTCCTCTCGCAGGAGGACCAGCGCCACCCTCACCCGCCAGGACGCACGTGAGACCGCATCCTTGTGCCCCCCCACAGCTCCCTTCCGGGACAGGGGGACCCCAGCCGCCTGCAGGCTGGGGCCGCGCAGTTCCCGTCCTCACCCACAGCTTTTACAAGACATGCTTTATCCTGACAGTCGTCAATGCCCGGCGGACCACACCTTTTTTTCCCCTTTAACTATGAGTATTTTTTTTAAATGACAGTCATCTTTATTCATTTAAAAATTTTTTTGTTAATTTTTGGGGGGGAAGTAATTAGGTTTATTTACTTATTTGTTTAATGGAGGTGCTGGCGATTGAACCCAGGAACTCGTGCCTGCTAAGCACGCACTCTACCACTGAGCTATAACCACCAACCCCCAGAACCCAAGAGTCTGAACACTGGGCTCTGCTGCCCGGTAACCCGCATCCCAGCTTGGAAGCTGGACCTGGAAGGTGGAGGTGGGGCTTGAGTTCCAGCCTATGGGGTTCAACTCACCGAGCTCAGGGCCACGTGGTGGTCAGGGAGCAGGACGACCATGCTCAGCTCCTCGCCAGCGTAGGGCAGCTCCAGCACCTGGGCCTGCACCTCCTCTATGTGGGCGAGTCTGAACGTCCCTTCCTGGAACATCATCTGCACTGGCCTCTGCTCCTCCTGCCGGAAGCGAACAGACGGGCGCAGGCGGAAAGACGGGTTACCGACGGAGGCAGCAGACTTCCCGCAGAGCTGCAGGTGACCCCGGAGGGTTCCAGCACCAGTGAACGGTACTCGTGCTCTGGTTAATGATTACAAACTGTCCGCTCATTCCTTCCTGTTACCACTACAAGGCGTCTGTTGTAAGCAGACAGGGGCTGGCCTGGGGAACAAGACGTTTTATTCAACAAGATAGATGTGATACTCCGCATTTTCCAGAAAAGGAAGACAGGTTTCCCACAGTGCAAGTATGTCCAGCAACTGTATCCCAAGAAACAACATAATCAAATGAAGTCAAATCGGAAATGACTTCTATTTAATTAGAGACAGGTTTTATGATAAAGTGGGATGAAACTTCTAGTTTCACAGGGACGTGACCAGGAGTGTGGACGGACGCACAGGCTCAGAAGGCAGTCTGTCAGTAAGTGTGAGGAACCACGTGTGTCTTCATGCATTTAATCCAACTGTCCTGAGCGGGGGAACAGCTCAGCGGTAGAGCACACGCTTAGCATGCACCAGGTCCTGGGTTTAATCCCCAGAGCCTTTCACTGAAAAAATAAATCAACCTATCTCCACCCTAAGGAAAAAGAAAAAATAAACAAATCCAAGTGTCCCACATCTGATCCTCTGATTCAAGGAAATAACTTTTTTTTAAACACAGAAGTGCTATATGCATGCAGAAGTGAACTGAAATACTACAGTTATTAAATTCATTTTTAAAAGTTGACACAGGCCATCGATCATAAAAATTAAAACAGTTTCTAAAAGCAATGCTAGAAAAGTTGTTCCCCCTCCCTGCCTTTGCAACCAGAGGGCTGATTAAAGCACATGACCCCCCAAAAGGGCTTTACTCCTATCAGTTTCCAAGCTGCACTGAAAGGGTATTTGTTTAAAGGGTTGGAGGGTTTGGCAAACTATGGTAACACCTGCCTGAACCAAAGTTATACCTCCATGTCGGGGCTAAGGTCTTTGTCAGCTAGTTCTCATAGTAGAAAGTTATAAACACTGAATTCGTAATGTTAATTAACAGCAACTCGAGTCTATATTGATTTTAATTTTTTAAATACCTGATTAAAGAAATACGTTTCCACATTTTCTGTCTCTACCCCCACCCCAACACACGCATATCAAACCTTAACACCTGGGGGAGTTTTTTGGGTTTAGGTTGGGGTTCTTTTTGCTTTCTATCTGAGCAACTTGGGCTTAAAAGAAAATCTAAAGCTTCCAGAACTGAATGTATGGACCCATTCAAGCAGTAATGAGTGTATGAGAAATTATCAAAGGCAACAGGTACAGTAATAAAATGCAAAAAAAAATATAGGCGGCAAGTAGTTTTCTGTACCTTCAGTTCTTTTCTACTGAGTTCATCTCATTCAGAAATGTGTTAAGTTTTGAATTATTTTAACCAATCATTAATGCTTTCACAAAGGTAACTTTTTCCATTCAATTTCGTCATCAAAGTAGCAGGATTTTCAGAAGTTTTCCCCACCTGGTTTACCCTAAAAGGCATCTCCCTTGTGTATGATTTGTTGAATTGCTCGTTCCACCTTCCTTTGAAGTAGATGGCGTTGACGAGGACCAGCCTGGTTTGCTCATCAATTGAGTTAAACGGCAACAACTCTGGAATTTTACCTTTTGGGAAAAGTAGAGAATATATTCCACTGATTTTTATGAAAGCATGATGAGTCACTTGTGACAAAGCTTACTGGCAGACCCTTAGTTATGAGTCAAGGACCAAACGTTCTTTTTTCCAATTTGCCGAGTTTGGTCATTACATACAGAAATCACACACACGGGTGGCATTCACCATCACCCGCGCTTCGGGACATCTGCAAAGTCAATGACGTGATGGAATTCTCCACCACTCAAGGGAAACACTGCTCCAGGTTGGGGAACCAGACAAGCAGGAAATGAGGGGTGGGCTGGAAGGGCCTCGGTTATCTCACGTGGTCAGACGCCCCAAAGCTATGTCCCGGGCTAACGTTCCACACCTGTGCCTGGGCCCAGCAAAGGCAGCCACGACGAATGGCCGAGGGGGAAGCCTGGCAACGGGCAGCGTGGGTGCTCAGAGGGGCTTCTGGAAGCCTCCAGAAAAGACTTCACTATTTGACCCTCCAGACAAAACACCAGATACCCCCAGAAATGGTCAGGTGACAACTGAAAGATACTCCCTTCTTCCCCTGGAGAGTGAGTGGTCCCTGTCCTATGAACTAAGAGCATCCCTGCTAATGCGCCGCCTCCAGGGGCCTGAGTGGTAAACGCAGATGGGGGAGACGGCGCTAAGTCTTCAAGGAAGGACAACCTCTTGTTCTTCACTGTCTTGTGTACTCACAGAAAGAGCAACATTCCTACTGGTACAAAGTGAAGCTGGCACAGAGGGGCCTGCGCAGGTCAAACGCCACACCCTCAGTGATCGCGGGGGCCAAGACTGGAACATGCCACCCTCCGAAACAGAAGCAAATAAGGCTCAACTCCCGCCCCTCCAAAAAAGGCTGATTTCCGTCTGCGGAATCCATCAGCCCCAGGAGAAGCCTGCAGCTGGCCTATGACGTCTAGGAAAGGGACTGGAGGCGGAAGACAGGAGAGAGGCAGGAGAGCAGGGAAGGGTAACGCCCAGGGCAAAGGCAGTGGTGCTGGGCCCACACGGACTCTGGAAAGAGGAGGCCCAGGTGCAGGATCCTACTGCCAGTCTCCTTCCTACAGACGTGCTAGGCGCACCCGACACGTGAACGTCGGAGGCCAAGTGACAGCACGTTTCACTGTAAGTTACTAAGCTGGAAACCTGGCCTGTGAGTTTCTTCTGTTTGTATCAGTCACTCTGGTCCTGGGCCAATGGACAAAATGAAGTCTCTCTTGTTGAAAATCCAACATCTGGACCGAACCTCTGTGAGCCCACTGAGGTTCAAATGTGCCGTGAGGCCCCTCCTGCCAACCTGGCGCTGACCACTGAAAGACTAGTGACGTCAGAGGGGGAAGGGATGGGGAAGAGAACAGGAAGGATGGGAGGAAGGGTGGGTAACACGTGGTTCTGACCTTCAGTCTTTTTTGAGACCCAGGCGTTTATCTGTTTCCTGGATGGCTCTGCGGCGTTGGCGAAGGAGAGCTTCTCCAGCTCGGCCCGGTAGAACCGAAGACAGGACTTCTGAAAGGTCTTGAGGAGGGTGGGAGGAGAGCGGCCAGTGAGGCTATATTCCTCAACAAAACGCCAGCAAGTTTCCAAACATCCTGAACATCACACACTTTATATTAAAAAGACCACACAGCTCTTAAAACTGATCATCTTAGTCTGTGAGGTATTAAGGTATCACTGTTTATGCACAGGTACGTACTAAGCCATGAGAACCAGAAATGGATAAATGAACTTTGGAAATACCAAATTTTAAATAATTCAAGGTATAGTTATAGAATTAGAAGTTTTTAAAGTAACATTCATAAGCTTCGCTCCCCTAGGGTCTTTCTCTCAGACTCTGTATTTTGACGACCACTTTCACTGTTCCGTTGACTCAACTTACAGAGAGAAATTCACAAGTCTCCTCTCCAAAGAGCCTGTTGGCCGTTCTCAGCAGGTACTGAGTGCCTGGCTTATTCAGCGCGGCGAGAAGTGACTGGAAACCCTGATGAATGTCTTTCTCTGGGTTTAAAGAAAGCAGCTGTTGAGATAAATAATTCAGAAATGATCAATGTTGCTCTTCAGTCTCAAACAAACTTGTGAGCAAAATTCTTTTCTCAAATACTTCACAAAATTTTCCTTTAAAAGGACAATTACTTTCATTCTAAGGGCAGATTCAATACATACTAAAGAAGTAACACCACGTGGGGCTGGGGGGAAGATACAGAGAGAAAGAGAAGGAGGCTTTTCTGTCCGGGTAGGTCTCTCTTGTTTAAAGAGGAATAGCAGGAAAGAATGGCAGGGATGAGGAGGGTTCAGAAAAGGAGCTGTTTTATAACCTTGCATCCCAAGGAAAGCACTAAGTGTGCCTTAAGTGGAGGAAGACTTACCTCTAAAATTTACAAAAAGAAATAAAGAGAGAGATGTAGTTAAAAGCATTAAAAATTCAAGGAGAAACTGGCATCAGTATAATGGGAAGACAACACTCTGAGTGTCTGCCAGCTTAAACAGAGGCCAGCCTAGCTCTCTGAAAGAACGTCCCTTAATGTGACAAGCAGCAACGTGGATTTAGCATCCTGTTGCCCGTTACTGTCCCGCTGAGCACGGGAGGGCAAGGACCGCTCCATGCCACATCTCACAAAGTAACCAGACAACCTGGGGGCTCTCCATGAAGCTCCATTAGGGGCTCGTTGGCCTAAAACAGCAAAGTTCATCAAGCAGGAAGAAACCCCTCCACACCTAAACCTTTGCTCCCGCGTGCACGAGCTGGGGAACGCTTACAATGAGTAACCACTGCCAACAAGGGTTCTCAGGGCAGGAGAGTCATGTTGAAACAGGAAGGCACATGATGAACACTCCTGCGTGGCCCAGCGGGGAGCTCGGGCACGGTATCAGTCTTCTGGTTTTGCCCTGGGCACGTGTCTCCTGCCCACTCTGCAAAATCCCCTGGGGACAGGGACAGACTTATTTTGGATGTTGACTGAATATTTGTTAGACTAATCTGACTAGCGCCTACGTCCTCTGTACATGTGAGAAGCACACGCCTTTTCACTCTCTTTGCATATTTCTGTCTGTCCCCTTACTGCGCCGGAGGGCATATTGGTATGCCAATGACTTGAAATAGATATTAACCTACCCTTCCTTACCAATGAATAATTATACTTACAAAGTCTTTTACTCTAAAAATGAGATAGATCTTAGCTGCTGGGATTTCAAACAATTTTGGTATCATTTCCTAAACAAAGATAAAGTGCTCGGACAAAATTTTGATAGTTATATCGAAGTTATTAACTGGAGAAACGTTTCCACAAAAAAATCGCAGCTAAGGAGACCCCAGCCCTGCTCGCTGCATCTGCTTCCCAGGGCAGCCCCACCTCCCCGAGACAGCACCTGTGTGCCCATGAGGCATCCACCCCGCCCTGCTTCAGGCAGCTCTGGAGAAGGGCTGAAGCTGGGTGACAGAAGAAGAGCAGAAAAGGCAGTCCCTGCTCCAGGCTTACCTGGGCCACCTGGGCAGCTGTGTCTCCTTCTGCCCCTAGGAAGACCATGGCCAGGGCAGAGGAGATGCTCACTGGAGAGTAAAACACGTTGTGCGAAGGGTCATCTTGACATAGAATCTTTAAAAGGCGGAGAGCAAAGGTGCCAATTGCTTCCGAAAGAGCATCCATGATGCCAGGTCTGGAGACAGAGAGTGAAGGGAAAGACTGTCTCAGTAAACCCTCAGTGCAGCTGACCTAACGCATGGCCATTTTGGAAATGTACTTTTTTCATCTGAAATCTCAAAAATATTTTAAGCTGGAGGAAGATCCAAAAAGCAAGTCCAATGTCAAGGTAATTAGCTAAGCATGGTACTGGCAACAGGTCAGACTAGCTTGGGAGCCCTGGGAAGATCAACAGACATGGCTCACAGGTGCGTGTGCACCCATGTGCGTACACGCGCGCACACACACACACACACACCCTCCCGGGAACTCTGAAGTTCAGTCATTTCCCATCTGAGGAGGAGGACAGGGTCGGGGAGGGGGAGGGGGAGGAAACCCCAGATGAAAACGCGCAGGTTCTCTGCCTGGTCTCCGCAGCACCACGTCTGTTCTTGCGGACGTTTACCAAGAGCCCTTGTGAGATTTTCAGCTATACACGAGACCATGGTCTCCCCGTTTGCCAGCTGATACTTGGAAATTGCTGAACTACCCGGACAGGCTGGAATCGGGCATAAAGTTGGCTGCGAGGCAGACAACTTTCACCCACAGTGGCTGCGCAGTCCGGGGACAGCCCTTAGCTCCTGCTGGCCAACAACTCCTGCCATCACCCGGCTCAGAGGGCCGCTGCTCGCTGATCTCCCGACCTCAGGGGACCTTCGGACGTTGCAAACCGGCCCAGACACTGTATGTTGTTTTTCAGGGTGCTTTGTTTCGTTTTGTTTTTTGGCTCAGAAACACAGGTTTGGAAGCTTCACTCATTCGTCCCAGCAAAAGCCGCCAGACTGGAGTCCCCCCGCCGCCCCCCTCCCACGAGGCGGGGGAAGTCAGTGCCCGTGGGACGCGGGAAAGGCCCGGAGGAACGGGGTCCAGGAGAGCAGAAGGGACGACCAGGCACTGCCAGCGAGAACGGGGAGGCCGGGACTGCGAAGCAGGGGACTGGTGGGTAGGGGGTGCCGACAGCTCACCTGAACCTGAACGCACCCGCCATCAGCCCCCAGCATAGCTTAGCAATGAGACCCTCAGGCACCCAATGCTCGCCTCAGGCCCTGAGAGCCCTCGCTGTCCTCTCCCGCCCTTCAGCCCTCACATCCGTCACCAAGGCTGCCTCTGCCCCCTAAGAGCTCTGGACCGGGTCTGCCTCGGCTGGTGCCGCACCTGGCCCGGACCCCGTCCCCGCCCCTTCCTGCC